TTTGTGGGGGGGGGGGGGAACCTCTGGTTCTGTCTGCATAATACTGATATCTGAACAGATTTTAATTGGTAGCCTAGTATTTGTGCTTAAAAAATTTAAAGGAATACCCCCATAGGTCTGTATTTTACACTGAAATGCCAAGATCAAAAAGACATCGTTAACTGAATGTGTTGGATTGCACTTGTGTGTTCCCAGAACACTGGAGGTTTCCCTAAATGACAGTTAAGCTCGTTGACTACAGCGGTGATGTAGAACATTACTTAAGTTAGTCCAAACATATTTACATAATGCATATAATCATTTCTGTGCAAAAGCAGTACATGCAACTCTGCCGCTTATTTGAAATTTTTTTTTTATTTTTTTAGTCCCTGGAAGTTCGAGCACATAAGTATTGGTTTTCTGTCTCTGCTCCTGAGGGATGATAGGATACTGCCTGTCCGTGCCATAAAATTTTTTGTGCAGTGTCTCAACCATGATGCAATTGTAGTTCGTAAGGTAAAGACAACATAATTATATCTTTTTGGTTTGCAACTCACTAGGTTTTAGATCGGATGTTTGTGGTGTCTTGCTGCTTAAAACCAATGGCCAGCTCCTTCCCCCCCCCGCCCCCGAAAACGATTAGTGGGAAGGTTTTTGTGGGCTATAAAGGTCACGCTTAAGCCATGTCCTGTATCCCCTGAAAGGAGTGAGATTTACTTCTTTATGGGAAGTATCAGCCGCTGGAATGATGAAGTTCACTGTAATTTTCAGTGGCTTTTTAGGGTGCCGAGTAGCTGGCTTAAAACGTGTCTATAATGAGATGATGAGACGCATCCTTCTGGAGGTAAGTGTATGGAACGGATACATTAATGCCTATTTCTTTCTTTTAGGTGGCCATCTCTGCTGTGGCTGGTATTCTTAAGCAGCTTAAGAGAACACACAAGAAAGTGCCCGTCTGCCCTTATGAAATAAGTAGGTTTTATTTAATATAAGAAAAGTCTTACTAACATTTATCCTGAATTTTTTTTTAAAGTGTGTTTTTCTGGTTAACTTAAACATGGAATCACAAGCTTTTCATTTCTCTCTGGTTGTTAATGTCCTCAGCAAACAAAATAGGTAATATAATCAGGCGGTTTTCAGTTTGGTGGCTTTTTTTTAAACAGTGTTGCAAGTGTGTATTAAGCTATTCACTTATTAGAAGTGAGTTAAAACTTCAGAGATATGGTCATTCTCCTTTCAGAAAGCCTTGTAATTTGTGAGAATAATTTGTATATCTCCTTTTTATTATTTTTTAAATCATTTCAAATGACACATTTATATAAATTACTAAAGGAATATTTTCTGTTACTATTAGTGTTACTTTTAATCTCCTAGGGCAAATCTTTGTACAGATTTGATTGTGGGGAGGGAGACATAAAAGCTCTTTAGAATCTTTTATTAAAAGTAAGTCGTAATGTTTGCTGGACTGTTAATGAGCAAGTTTGATAGATTAGAAATTCCTCTTTAACCAGGTGGAAACCCTAAGCCTTCCAGCATTCAGGCTGGTGACAGACCAGATAACCAGTGGCTGCACTATGACAGTCGGAGTTTACCAAAGACTAAGGAAGCTTGGGAGTCGTGTTGTTTTGTGGAGAAAACACACTGGGGATATTATACCTGGCCTCAGTGAGTATCGTTAAGCATTAGGATAGAATTGTGAGAGTCAGCAGAAAAAATTCTGTGGGGAATTAAATAATGTTTGTTAATTTTTTAAATTGAAACAAAAAAATACAATTTATTTCATCCTTTGTGCTCCTTGCTTGTTTTACTGCTTCTGGGTGGTTTGGGGGAGGGGGTGATTTTTTTTCATATGTTTTTTTACATTTATTTATTTTCTACTGGCTTCTCTTTTGGTTTCGTGGGTACTATAGGCATATATGTCATATGGCTATTTAACTGCTGGTTTTAAAATGAAGTATACATGTTTGAAAGTTACCTAGTTGCAAAATATGCAGAGTATTCTATCACTAATAATTCTGGATTGCTCGCTGTAGCAAAACCTTTATAATAACAGACTTAATCTTTTTGTTGTAAATTTTCGTATCAGTTTTGCTCTTTTGGAGTTGATGATAAATCCTATTTAATATAGAGAATGTAGAAAATTATCATAAGCTTTATTTTACTTTGAAACATGCGTTACTGTATTTTTTTTTTTAATATTCAGAACTATGACAGTTTATGCTCCAGTTGAGCATCAACCAAAGCTTGGGCGAAGGAGAGATGAGCTGACAGAGGTAAGGGTTTCAGCATGTTTCAGTTTGGTGGGGTTTTTTAATACTACTTCTCCTCCCTTATTTTTTTAATATTGTCCACAAATTATTGTGGAGACAATGTGGAGATCAAATTCCCTTCTCTCCTTTGGCCTAGGTATTGCTTGGCATTTAGAGAGTGCTTACACAAAATGTGTGGAAACAGATTTGTTTGGCTTGATTGCAAACCAAGATGGATATTGAACTCAACTACGCAGTTTCATGGCTGTGTGGATATAATCATGGTTTTAACAAGCAATAAGTGATAACTATTCTAAAACCTTGATCCCCACAAGACACTTTTAATCGTGTTTTTCTAGTTCATTTTCATACTTACGGGGTTAGCATACAAGAAATTATTGTTTTAGCGTATTGCAGCTTCTCTGTCAGTGATCGTGGAGCAATTGTATTAATGAGCACTTTCTTGTTCCCTTTCAAATCTTTATCAGAGTTTAGAACAAGGTAATTAATGACAGTGGGAATGACTACTTTGTAGGGGTTGTGCTAGTGAAAGGAAAGACAATCCAAAGCCATTAATGAAAATAAAATCAGGACTCTTGCAAAACATTACCCAATATAAGGGGGGAAATGGATAACTCGGGCATGATTTTTTCCAAAAATAGAATTAAAATGAAAAATGGGACTTGAAAAGATTGGGATATCACTGTGACAGTCAAGCACCTCAAAGCTAATCCTTGTTTTTCCTTCTGTTACAGGCAGAACAAATTATATATGATCACTTTTCTGATCCCAAGTTTGTTGAGCAGTTAATAAAATTTTTGTCTTTAGAAGACAGAAAAGGAAAAGACAAATTTAATCCTCGCAGATTTTGCCTCTTCAAGGTAATTAGAGTTCAATAACTAAATTGCTTCCATTTTGTAGTTAATTATCAAAGCGTGGAAGAGCCACATGCTACTTGTCTTACACGCTACTGTTGCAAAATGTTGATTTTTAAAGGTATGGTGCTATGATTAATCCTTTTAATCCTCTCTTCTGATTAACTACTACTTAGGGAAACATAATCAGAGTAATATAAAAGTATGTAGGACACTTGCATGTAATTTGGTTACAAAAGCAAAGTAATTTCACTTTCTGCATATTCAAATCTCAAGCGCTTCATGATCTTATGTTCTTACAAAGACAATGGTTTAGACTGATAATTCCTGAAGACACTTTCACATCTTGTTTTACAGGGCCTTTTCAGAAACTTTGATGATGCCTTCTTGCCAGTTCTTCAGCCCCATTTAGAACAACTTGTGGCAGACTCCCATGAAAGCACCCAGAGATGTGTAGCTGAAATTATAGCTGGCTTAATAAGAGGTTCTAAACACTGGACATTCGAGAAGGTGCTGAAGTAGTATTTTTGAGTGATTCATGGAAGTTAAGGAATAAGTTTGAATTATTAAAGATATGAAGTTGAGGGCTTTTAACGTGTCGCCTACGTCCAAGAAAGGACTGGAAAATATTGCAACACTTAGTGCTTTGTTGCCAAACTTTGAGCACAATTCATAGCTTGGTTTGGTGCCTATGTAATACTAGGTGTTAATAAATTGCTTCAAGATTAGAACTAAGAACAGTTTGCTGGTAAGGAGATAGTAAAGCTGACATTGTTCGTAATTTCCAACTGGAGTAAGTGCTTATGTCCATCTCAGACTATTACATCTTTATTTAGTCTAGACCTAGCTGTCTAGATTAGCTTTAAATGAAGTTCTATGCTGAAAAATAATTCTGGGAGAATCAGTTCCATAATAAAAAATAAAAAAAGACATTTTAAAATCTGGGGGTGGGGGGTGAAGTCCTTGGGAGGGCATACAAGGCTGCTATCCTACCAAAAGCAAAGTGTATGCAGTCTCTGATAGAATTGTACTTAAATCACTATGAAAATGGTGCATACATAGTCCGCAGTATTTCTAAACACCTTGTAAACAAAATTAAAATGATTCCCAAAATCTCACCTCTGACAGTATTTATTTCCTTTTATAAATATCATACTGTAGCTGCTTCCAGAATGAGTATTGTTTTTCCACGATTAGAAAAGATGGAAGGATTTTGGTTCACAGAGGTTAGATGGCCATTTTGTCCTTAAATAGACAAATCTTGTCTTTGCTTTTTTGCTGAGCAGGTGGAAAAACTTTGGAAGCTTCTCTGTCCATTGCTTCGAACAGCTTTATCCAACATTACAGTGGAAACGTATAATGATTGGGGCACATGCATAGCAACCTCCTGTGTAAGTTCCCCATTTTTTGTCTTGTAAAGCTATATCCAGATGGTCAAGTTTTATAGATAATAGGTGAATAAGAGTGTTAGGAACAGAGGTATTTGGGTATATTTTATCAGCTAAAACTGAGAACTGTGAATACAGTATAACAATAACATCCATTTAAAATCTCATAGCTTTTTGGAAATTTTGTTCTCTTCTGCCATTTGCAGACAAATAAAACATTTTAGAAAAGAAATAAAGCCTTAGTTTTCAAGTATTTTAGAAGAGCTGTATAAGGTCAGCAGGTGATGGTATGTGTGCTTGCTATGCATTTGGTTTTTGTGGGAGTTTTTGAACTCAAATTACACATTTACTCTTGCTTTAAAAGTGTGCAGCTTAGCGTTATGCTGTGAAAACTAAGTCTCAAGTTATCTTCTCACATACAGTAAGGTTTCTCTACACTGTGGTAAGGTTTCTCTACGCTGTGGTGGACTGGGAGTTGTGATGTCTGAGAAGCAGGGTAAATGACTGGCCACAAATATCTTGGATCAGGAATTCTTTGAAATCACTCAGCAAAATTCAGCATAGTTTGTCAGCCAGAACCCTGGCAATTAATGAGCAGAATTCAGACATGATTATTCATATATGGCAAAAATGCAGCTAAAATTCCTTCTACTCTTATCGTTGTATTTATCGAATAATTACAATTGCATGTAGTTTCATTGAGTTTTCCTCCTATTGAGGTTCATTGTGCAAAGACATTTAATGGTACTTGCTTAATAGAGTAAACCCAAGGGATGCAAAGAAAACCTCTGTCAAAACTTTCCTTGTTTATACATTATTTACATTAAAAAAAAAAAATCCCTAATTTGCTTATATCTCTGATACCCATTTATTTTTAGGAGAGCAGAGATCCTAGGAAACTGCACTGGTTATTTGAATTGCTGCTGGAATCTCCACTGAGTGGTGAAGGAGGATCATTTGTAGATGCATGGTAAAATTAATTTTAACTGTTCTATTGTGGCTGAATAAAGCTGGATAAAATGTATTGAGAACATATTGTGCCAGCTGGCTTGCAGAAGTGGGGAACAAAAGCGCTCCTTTCCAATTAGCTTTCCCCATACAATGGCAGTTTCTTAATTTTTTTTTTTTAATGTAATTAAATCTAGTTAACAGCATGTGAAGGTTTGGAACTGGCATAGCAGCAGTACTGTTGCTTCATTCTGTAATTTTTACCCATCTTTGCATGCAATTCTCACAAAGACACTTTTATGCGTTGACACACACACAGCATTCCAAAACAAGGCTTGGAGGGGACTGGGGAAGAGAGGAACAATTTTGTATGACTAAAGATAGGCTGTTCTGATTCCTAGCCGACTTTATGTACTGCAAGGTGGCCTTGCACAGCAAGAATGGAGAGTACCGGAGCTGTTGCATAGACTGCTGAAGTACTTGGAACCTAAACTCACGCAGGTTTACAAAAACGTCCGAGAGAGAATAGGAAGGTCAGTGTTCTCTTCTGCAGTTCTTGGGGTTTTTTTTCCCTCTTCATTTTATTCGCGTAATTGAGTATCTAAATAATTACACGGAAGTGGTGACTGCTTATCTCTGTGTGTTAATACTGGTAATAGAAATTAGATAAATTGTTGTTAACAGGCTTGCTTCAGAAACTTCAGATGACTTCTCTACTTTTGTCTTTTATTATATATGGCCTGTTATGTTTATGTATGGTATCTCTAAAGCTCTTTAAAAAAAAAAAACAAAACACAAAAAAACCCCAAAACACAACAAACAAACAACCTCCCACCCCCAAAAAACCCCAAAACCACACCACCACAACCCAAATTTACTGTGTCTAAGCCCTGGTAAGCCACAAATATACAGGGAATCCTTTAGAGAGCATTTTAGTGACTTAAAAACTAGTTGCAGATCCTCTGTTTGGAGGAGAGGGGGTTTGTAGCTTAGTGATTGTCTAACCCTGCTTGATTCAAATATCTACAAAGAGGGTATTTGAAAAACATGTGGTTTTACATAACTTTGAAGTGAAGATAAGAGGATGTTTTCTAGAAGTATTAAACTTCAAAGTTCAACAAATTGATCTCATATCAGTTTTAGCTATGTTCTCTAGGCAGTAATCATGACTAACTGTATGTTCTTGCTTGCTTGCTTTGCTTTTGTAGTGTTTTGACCTACATATTCATGATAGATGTTTCCTTGCCAAATACTGCTGGAACTAAATCTCCTCGTGTCCATGAATTTACTACTCGGATACTTGAAAATCTTAAACCCCTCATGGAAGCAGATGAAGAAATTCAGAATCATGTTATGGAAGAGAATGGAGTTGGTGAACAAGATGAGCGAACTCAGGGCATTAAACTCGTGAAAACTAGTGAGTTACTTAATGAGGTTAAGAAATGGGGGGTGTTTTAGGACATGATGATTGAGGTCTGCAGATCATACAGTTGTAGTACACAATTTCATCTCTCAGACCTGTGCTACAACACAGTATCTGTTGTTTCAGGGTTGAGGTTTATAAAGTCACCTTTACAGGGTCAAACTACCAGTATAGGTACACTCTTAACGTGTGAAAATCTCCCAGGCGAGTCTTGCAATAGATTTGGTCTATCATTTGTTTTGGGATTATTACTGGGTTTTTATCTTCTTCATCAGTGATCATTTCTCTTTACGAAAACAGTTCTGAAGTGGTTGATGGCAAGTGCAGGACGGTCCTTCTCTACGGCTGTCACAGAGCAACTCCAGCTGCTACCCTTGTTTTTCAAGGTATATGCTTTAATTGCTGCTTTATTAGTCATGTTGAATTAAAAAGGGCTTTAGGATAAAGCAGAGTTATAAGGGACTTCTTAAAAAAAGAAGAAAACCAGTAATGGTAATAAAAACCACGCATACTGAGGAGGCCCAAATGGGGTTTTTGTGCTTCTGTACGTTTACAGCTGGTAATCTAGCCTGTTAAATGGTTCCCTGACAATAATGACTTGTAGGTGAATGCCCTGTACCTGTGTCGTTTGGGGGGGAAAATGTGTTTAATTCATGAATGAGTGTCTGTTGTTTCTGTTCTGATACTTATCTTTAGTTGTTTTCTTTTGTTCCATGATTATACAATTCTTTCGAAAAGGTGGTACTTCTCTTGTTTTTCCTGGCACCTCTAATCCTTGTATTCTTTTATGAAGCTGGGATTCAGTGCTACATATCTGAAATAATGCATATTTCAGTGCCCCAAAGCATATGTCTGTCTTTATATAAACACCAATTATCCAATAATAATGTATGTGACCGCAAAATAAAGGTTTACTTCTGTAAACGTGAACTTGGAATACTGATAAAGCTTTCTCTGTTTTGGACCTACATCTAAAATATAAAATTAATTTGATTTGATACCAAAAGAATGGCCATGGAGAACCAAAGTCTTAACAGCACCCATTTAATCCTCCTTAAGAGCTTCAGGCTAGCCATAGTGTTTAGATAAGTAATATGTGGTGCAAGGAGCAAGGATCTCATGAGTCTATTCACTTTTCCACAGCTTATGGCTGAGAATATTTTAACTTCACATTGGTTGTTTTTCCTAGCTAACTTAATCTTTCAGCATTATGTTGATTGTATTTTTCCTAGATAACTTCCCTTTCATGAGATTAAACTAGAAAGTTTCAGGATTTTGCTGTTAGCAACGCTTATTTACTGACGCTAGCCTTTTTTTTTTTTTTTCTTTTTTCTTTCCCCTCTCTGATCTTGTATAGATTGCACCAGTAGAAAATGACAATAGCTATGATGAGCTCAAAAGAGATGCTAAGATGTGTTTGTCGTTAATGTCTCAGGGTTTGCTGTATCCTCAGCAAGTGCCTTTGGTACTTCAGGTGCTAAAACAAGTGAGTATGGTCTAAATAGCTTAAAGCTTCTTGTTAGCTGACGCACTCTGTGCCTTTCTTTTGGTTTTTTTTAAAGATTATACAATAGCTGTGGTCTGAAGAGAATCAAATACTGATTTTCTTAGAGGTGAAAGGAAGGAATTTATTAAAAGTGTTTTAAAACATTCTGAGACACAGTAAATACATTTTGTTTCCTACTTCCAAACATTTAAACAATTCGTATCCTGGTAAGAAATTGAACAGTATTTTAGTAAATGAAAATTTAGTTCAGTAGTAGATCAGTTTAAGCCAAACATGTCTCCTCATGAGCATAACAATTCAAAATCCAGTTTCAAGATGAGTCGTCATATAAAGAACTGCCCTTGAATCTCTGCCTTTTTATAGTTCTACAGTATGTTTATTAACTGCTACGGCTTTCTGAAAAACACCACAAATGAAAATGCACTCTTGAATGGTTCATTCTGTATACAGTTTGTCATGCAAGAAATGCGTTTTTTGTCTAGTCATTCAAGGCTGATCCATAGTAGTAAAATTACCTATTGCAAACTGTCGGTGTAAGCTGTACACACAGCCAAAATAGTAACTGTAGTGTTGCAAGCCAGGCTGCACCCATGCCTGGATGCTTTCAATAATTTGGACTCCCATAAGCATGTGGAGATGAAAGTAAAGGAACTTGAAAAAACTTTGCTTTCCAAATCCACTGTATAGAATATATATACATATACCCTCAAGCAGAATGGAATTTCTGGTTTATTTATATCTGCCTTATGACTGATGTCGGGAACTAATCAAAGGGAGAAACTTGCCTACTTTGTCTTTTACAATATTAGGTATCTGTTAAATAACAGTATGCTTTGGAAGTTAAACCTGTAATAGAGTATTATTTAAATAATAATTGTGTGCTTTGGAAATTGAAGAGTGTATGAAACAAAAATATCTGAATAAGAGAAGTTATTTGCAACTGACTCCAAAAGCTTTTTCTTAGCTATTGTTAGCTTTACATCAGGTAGCTTCTTTCCTTCACATCCTTCCTTTCTGATACTTACTATTTATTTTTACTTGTAGACAGCAAGAAGCAATTCTTGGCATGCTAGGTATACCATATTAACCTACCTCCAGACCATGGTGTTCTACAATCTCTTTATCTTTCTCAACAACGAAGAAGCAGTCAATGACATTAGATGGCTGGTTATAAAACTCCTGGAAGATGAACAGCTGGAGGCAAGTAATACCTTTTATGAAATGCTTTGTTTCACATGACTGGTTCTTGCCCTTGTCAAGTTTTATGAAAAAGCTACCAATTGTAAATTAATACAGCAAGTACTTCTAGCTTAGCATTCTTCCTGTTTTGAAAATACAACTAGCTGTATAGGATTTACTTCTTCCATATTCCATTTTTTCTGTTAATATTCCATTCCAGGAAAACAGCTGTTTAGAAAATACTTCATTAGTGATTTTTAAAAGTTCCATTGTTCCTACTTTTTCAAAAGAATACAACATTGCTTTGTTTCATTCTTGGTTTAAGTACAGCTGAAATAGGGATACTATCATTTTACTATAAATGTTAGCATGGACGTTGGTAGAAAATTCAACTTCTGACAAGGTAAAATGCCTTTCTATGTGAAAACTGTATAAAACCGCTATTTATTACTCTGTAGGTCTGTTTCCCATTTAATAATACCAGCTAGTTAATGACAATTTTTTTTTACACATCCAGCTCACTAAGGAAGTATTTCTTCAGTTACAAGCAGATTTTCCTTACTTTTGTGAAAGATGCATGTGTAATAGGACTGAATTTGTCTAGCAGATGCTGTTACTGATGGTGTTGCATGATTCAAAAAGATAATAGTTTGTAAGCTTATTTGTCAGTCTGGCAAGTTTTGGTACTTTTGTACGTCTCGAGCTACTGATACTTCGGTATATACGAATGGAAAGAGATAAAATCCAAAATCTTGGCTGTGGTGCATGCGTACTGTTGAAGATCTGTGTATGGATGTACACCATACTCTTAGAAGTGCTAGATCATAAACTTGTTCTCAGGAAAAAAAAAAAGATGCCTGATGTGAATCACTGAGTCTTGTCAGGCTTCCAAAAGCTGGGGGAAAATCACTGAAGTATTTTGTTCTGTATCAATAATGTACAGAACTGAAGGCTTGTATTAAGTGACGTGAGTTTAAGTACGTTTGATGTTCAAGCACAGTGAAGAATCTTTAGTGTTAACCTCCAGTCTGCTCCATTTATCCTGCTCCATTGTTTTTCACTGTTTTGTGTGCTGTTGGCAAATAGCAATGAAATCCTTCTTTTGGGTGCTTGGGTGCTCTTTTTCTTTCTAGAAGAAAAAGAAGATTCTGAAGTGTGGTACCCTTCTGCCAAGACAAGCATCCTGGTTTAGGTCTTTCTGAAGCTACATTTAAAACATTAGTTATACCCGAGTTGCGAAGCTTGCTTTTGTGAACAGTGAATTGGAAAGAATTTGAATATACAAATTAAAATACCTGGCTTAAAAGGTTTGACAGTACAGTCTCTGTAAGTGCATGTAATAATTAAAGAACAGCTCTTAGACTACTTGCCCAGCCATGGCCGTTTCAGTCTTCAGGTGAGCTCTCTCATGTCTTTCATGTCGCTATTTGCTGTAGCGAGCTAGAAAGCGAAAGCTGGCAATCCAAGATAAGTTGTTCTCCACACCAGTCGGGACGCTTACCTCCGTGATCTCATGTCATTTTGGAAAAATACCTTTTATTCACTTCAATACAATTTGTCGAGTTATTTCAAATGTACAAAAATTACTCGTCTGCCCTACAGAGATGCAAATCAAAAAAGCTTATCTATGTTCATAACCACTTATGATCATGTTGTTACCATGCAAGCTTTCACTTTTCTTTGAAAAGTAATCTTGTTCTTCCTTGAGAATAGTTGGCAAGATGCAGTATCTTGCAGAGTAATTCCTGTGTATTTTTTTAACGCTGGATTTTTAAGATGAGTGTGCTTTCATTAGAATCCCTAGCTTTAACTAGTATTTGGTGTCTTTATGCTGTGGAACTGACATTTTGGATCTTGGATTCAAAGACACATGATGATGATGATTTTTTTTTTTTTTTGCTTATTTTGTTAGAGGTGCCAGACTGAATGATCCTGCTCATCTTGTTCTTTGCTTTAATATACAGTTTACACTTCTAATATTGCTAGAATTCTCAAACTTCCTGGTAACTTCATATTTTTTCATAAAATCACAGCAACAAACCTTGGCAAATGACAGTGTCAGATGACCTCACTGATGTCAGATAGCAATGTGACTGCGATACAAAGCGAACATGGGTCATAGAACAGCCTGTCTTCTATCGAACGCAAATTCCATGCATCCAGCTTTTAGGCATAGGCCTCTAGGACTGAAGAATGCTGTATTTAAATGGTATTGCGGGAAATTCTCCTTCTGAAAGTCAGAGGAGTCATAGAGCTGATGGAGTACTGTGAATGTAAGAGCTAATGTGACACTGCAGCTGATAAAGGGAAAAAGTGTGCAGTCCTGAAAAAAAAAGTCTCTGTGTACAGCAGTATAACCACCATTGACTATTGTGTCTAATTTTCATGTCACATAGGCAGTTGAAGAGAGCTGCAGGAATGATTTGAGTTTGGGAAAGCATGTTTTGCACTAAATAATTCTGTTTACTCGGTTAGAAGTAGAAGAAAAGTGAAAATGACTGTATTCAACTTGGAGTTATGGTTAAAGTGATAGCCTAGTTAATCTGAAAGCATCTTACAGTTTTCTTGGCCGTAGTTTGAGCTAGGAAGCTATCTGGGTAGGTGCTTCATATGTTTATGTTTCTATAAATCAGTGTACTGAATACATAGCACTCATGTCTTGATAAACATTTTTCATATTACACTGCAATACTGCAGTTACGGGAGTATTTTCTCTTTGTGTAAGTAGCCCCTTGCGAGGACTGTGCTTAGGTTTTATTGTGCTGTTGAGTGGTTTTGTTCCGATACTGTTACAGTTTTGTAGACCTTGGTCAGTCAATTCTGATTAAAAAAAAAAACCAAACAAAAAAACCCCACCGTCCTTGACTGGAAGAGTATTCCTCGGCTACTCTTCTGCAGTTTTTATATTCTAGGAGTCATTATGTGAGTATGATGATCTAAATTATTTAGTGTCAGACGTTGTGACAAATGATTAGCTTGTTAAGGTACGATTTTAAAGGCTTTGCTTCTAGGTGCTCCTTGCAGCAAAGTGTTCCTTTTAGTTAGACTATTAATTTAGAAATGAAAGTGGTTTTAATACAGGGAATAGTGATGTAAATGAGTACAGTTCACTTGGGAGCTTGCTCACTTTACAGCCAAGCTTCTTTCTATTCTGGGTCTTGCATTAGCACATCATGTTTCATTTAATAGCTTCGTTCTTAAGAGACTCACAAATTGCTGATAAACAATACTGGCAGACTTTCACTTTGCACTTCTTTATGCTGCTAACAAAGTAGATCACGTTTGAATAATACGTTGTAGAAATTTAAATGGAATGAAGTGAAGTCTCAAGAGCGTATTGTTAACTTACTATGTTTAATTACTGCAGCACTTGCAGCTATACTTTTTGCTTTATGGAGGTTCAGAACATCATGTTCAAGGATGTAATTTATTATAATCTGCTGCATTGGATTCAGAGCGTTGGTAGGTGTTTGTACTCCAGATAGACAAATGTTCTGTTTACGGTTAGGTGTAACAGTATGTACTTATCAAAAAATCTGGCGACTGCTGTCAGCATTTCAACAAGTCGATTTGGTGTTCAAGTTTGTAAATGTTGGGAGGTTTTTGTCGGCCTGCAATTATTGAAAGTGGAAGTGAGTTTCGGAGGGACTCCAATTTAAATATGGTCTTATAGTTCTATAACTTTATGGTTTGGGAAGATTTGAGTAGATGAGATAAATTAGTAAAACTGATTGGTTGTACTTGCTTTTAGAAGCAAGTGATTGAGTTGTCTCTACTTGTAATCCACTAAGAATGCGTTGTGGCTGTTTTAAAAGGAATGGAAAAGGAGATCTGTATTTTGAATGGTTTGGCAATTAGCTGAAAAATTAGTTTACTCTTGTTCTTTTGGGTTTCTGTGTTACTGAAGAGAAGAATATTTTTCCAACCTGGAATTCTGGTTTTTATTCATGTAATGAAAAGAACTGGTACTCAGGACAAGCAAGTAAACAATGCTGGACCATTATAGAACCAAACTGTTGACCATAATGGCTTATTAATTGCAGCACCTGTTGTATCTCTCAGAAGAATTCTTGTGCTAGAACAGAATCAGCTTTGTCTCATGAACACACCTTCTACCTTCTCTTGGAAAGGCTCTTCTGCCTTTGGCAATTCTCATGTCTCCACGTACAGATGAGGGGGAAAACTAAATGCTTTTGAATAAAGTATACTTTTTTTTTTCTTGGTAAAACTAATGTTAATACAGAGACTATTACAAATTTTGTAAAGCAGGTTGATTTTTTGGGGTAGGGCATCTTGTTCTCATTCAAGAAGTCCGTTTTTAAACTTTCTAAAGCTAATCTAAGTTTATGATATATATGTCTTGACAGTGGAGTTTAATTACATTATTTGCTCGAGTAGTGGGTCACTTTATGACAAATTATGTGAAGGTAGTTCTGTATTACAGTAGAACTATGCTTATTAAGTTGTAAAGAGCCATACAGTAAACTACTAGTAGTTTATGATCTATGAGATAATGGGATAGTATTTTAAAGACTTTTCTTGGGCAGAGTTTGGTAACTTGCCCTAGCTGGATGTGCTTAAAAGGGTAGTAATAGCACAAATACCTGTTTCTTGCTGTGCATGTGTGCTTAGTAATTGTGGTATGTTCTATCTCTGCTCATAGGTAAGAGAAATGGCTGCTACCACACTAAGTGGTCTGCTACAGTGCAATTTTCTCGCTATGGATGCTCCCATGCAGACGCACTTTGAACAGCTGTGCAAGATGAGGTTACCGAAAAAACGAAAGCGAGACCTGGGTTCAGTGGTGGACACAATTCCTTCCGGTGGTAAGAAAATTGCTTCAGAGACTAAACCCATGCATGTCGATAGCAGGTTAGGAAGAAATAAATACTTTGTGCTACACTTAAATGCTTATTCTCCAGGCACTCCAGATGGAATAGGATTTGTCCTGTGGTTAAGCAATAGTGAGAAATTTAACATATACCCAGAGAAACACGTTGCCCATGTGAATGTTTTTCCTTGCTAAGCATTCATAAACCATAATGGCAAATCACTTGTCCTTACGTACCTTATTGTCTGTTTCTGTGTATGTAGTGCAGATCCTAACCCTTGTTAAGTGCTTCCAGAATTTGATTTACAGCATAAATGATGAGTAAGAATACACTACTACCAAAAAAACCCAAATAATGTTTTTTTATGATGTATTCCTACATTAAACTAATTTATTACTTTTCCAGAATTAACACGAAAGAAACTTCTCCATTTCCCCTGTGCACAGTTCACATAGTTAAGAATGCAGATGATGAAGGATAGCAATTTCCTCAGTAAATAAAATTCCTTAGCTGCCACAACATAATTTCACTCCTTACCCACATTATCCTCTTATTTGTTAGCAGCATGGTGTTTTTATTCTAAAAAAAAACCTAACCCAACACACAAACACCAAAAAAAACCCCCAAAAAACCCAGCACAACAACAACAAAAAAACCAACTTAGTTCAGGAGCTTTGGCTTCTGACCAAATGTTTAGTGCATCTGAGTTACATTCATTTGAGCCAGAAGGACTGGGCTTTCAGATTGTCCAATAGTCTGGTATTTGAGAAAACATTCTGAACACAGAAATAAGGAACAGTGGAGATGTAGTTCATGAACTATTTAACTGAGTAGAGGGAAA